CCTTACGGAAACACTTGAATACGTCAGTCTTCAGACTTTTTAGTCAATAAATCTTTCCTCTAGAGCGTTAATTCTCTCATTTCTTCAGGCTCCTTCAATTTGTACTGACGAATAGTTGAATGGGATCACGGTTTTCTTGGTATCAGTCACCTGCATCACCTGTGCTCCCGTTGGTCGTCGAGTTGCTCGAGCACGTCAGCAGCTTTTCCGATCGTCACTTTTGAGCACTAGAGATGAGCAGGTGGTTTTCTGTGCTCGGGGGACGCGATGTACTTCATGCCATTCGTTCAGAACTTCTAGAAGAAGTCTGACCCCTCAGGCTCGTGCCGCTGATGTGCTTTTCTGTCATCCTGTAGAAACCAGTCAGTAATCGCTCTGGTCCAGCGGTCATTCTCGAATCGCATAGCTCATCTGATCTTCGAAACCTTGAGGAATTCAGCTGCTTTCGTGATTTTTGGTCGTCCAAGGGAGTGCGTATCTCTGGATTAATGACATCATATGAAGCGGGAAGCTCTATCTCTCTTTCGACAGCGTTCTTGATGAAGCTGGCCGCATTTTAATCCTGCTTTCTTGGGATCCGATTCTCTGGGGCGTATGTTATGGCAGGAAGGACTGCGGAATAGAAGACTTGGGCAAGAACAGGGTGCTCTTCCGTCCTCTTCGCTACTTCCTCGATGTTCCTGAAGTGCTTCTCAAGCCGCTCGCTTCCTCCTGCTCAGCTATGCTGCTAGGTCCACCATTTTGGCCTTTTGGCCTTGGTAGGCATAGCCAGCGCAATTAGAGATGTTCGTCCAGTTGAATGAGAATCAGGGTACAGCATCGTTGTGTGAAACATATGGGGGAGGTGTAGTACTTGTCCGCTGGGGAGGGGGGGGTCGTACTTGTCCGCTGGCGAGGGGGGGTCGTTGATGTTAAAGGTAGTTTGAACGGTAGTTGGCTTCTGACCTGAGGACCCCCCCACAGCGGAAAATTTTCGCTGGTGGAAATCGGGAGGGAAGCTGGGAACTCGGTGGGAAAGGCTGGTAGGTAGGATGTTGTGGTGAGAAGGAGGGTAGCACGGAGACCTGCCTCGCACGTGGGATCGTGCTGCCGACGACCATTTCACACATCACGATGCTCTACCCTGATGAGAATAGGGCATTGGGTACCCGTCCGTTCTAAGGAATATGTCTATGGAATGCTTAAGAGGTTCTGTTCAGGAAGAAATGATGTCTGACACTATGTTTCGCCATCTGGCTAACTAACTTCCTCAAGCTACCCCTAATGATTGGTTCTCTGGTTGTAAATAGCTTATCAGGTTTGGTTTTTTGATTCTTTTGCATCAGGAAGTAATTTGCGCTCGAGCTGAAACTCCTCTGCTGTAAACTTGCCAATTTAAAGTAGCGCCCATTGTTTTGAAAACGACTATCGCATAATACTGGGATCGTAAATTGCTCTTTTCCTTTGTTTTGGCTCCACAGACACATCGTCGTGCAACGGCAACGCCTTCATTCTAGTCTTTACCTCTAACACCGAGCTGTTGCAGTTATCACCTGAGCAGCCGGCTAAATATGACCCCCCCCCCCCCGATACTTCTCTTCTCTGCTACCTCCATACCCACTGAGCTGGATTTTTGTTCCATTGGCTCTTCGTTATGCATGGGATCGTATCTGTATCATGTCTGTATGGGGCAATTTTGCCGTCTTCTTCTTTTTCTTTTTTCTTCTTTTTCTTCTTCTTCTCACCTTCTCTCTCCTTTCTCTTGCTCTCTGTTGAGCGAATGTGTTTCGCTCTTTCGGGTGTTCAGCCAATGGCGCGGCCTTATCATCTAGGAAATTCAACCTATTATTTTTCAACCGACCAAACCACTTCTTTCATTGAGATGTTAGATGAGTGTCTACGGGTCCAATTTTGATCCCAGATCCCGGTTTTGATCCCACCTCTCCCCGTTTGGGAAACGTCTTTTCAAATGAACACCACTTACTCCTCGCTCAAGTCTTTTCAAATGGGAACCAGTTACTCCACTCCTCATCACTCACCAGAAGTTCTCAGTGATCTAAAGAAGTCCGAGGGCGGGCCGCTTCGGCAACGGAGCACAGACCAGATGAGGCAGCACACGGGGGATTCGCATCGTAACAGAAATTGGCGCTGTCACCCCCCCCCCCCCCCCGATATGAGCCGCGATGTGCTTCACACCCGTCTCGTCCATAACCCAATCTACTAGCTGCTAGGACCTCCCTAGCTCTCTACCAATTCCCCACCGATGTTGAACCAACGGTAAGATATCTCGTTCATGCACCCTCTTATCCTAAAAGTCATGACTTCCACACCGGGATTCAACAAGATCTCTCGCTTTCCGCGCTAGTGCGCTATCCGTTACGCCACCACGGCTGCTCTGCTCAGCTTGACGGCTTTCATGCGTAACCTTTCAGCCAGCCAGGGAGAGAGGGAATCCTTCTCAAAGCCAAATATGACCCCACCGGCCAAGTAAGACTCCCAGCAGGGTTCTCACACCTTACACTGGCTATAACATATATCTACACCTACTCGTTGATCATTTGAAGAGTGGGGACTACTTAAACTCAACCCTTGTCCTCGATTTTCTCGTTTTCTCTGCACTCACATGGTGTTTGCAGTTTGCAACGTTCTAGCAGCCATCGTCCTGTATCAGCCTGCCCGATAGGTTTTCGCGGCAGGACCACTGAAAAGTTCCGAGAAGTCTCGCAATTCTATTAAAAGTTAGTATAGGTAACGCCTAAGAAGCCATTTAAGGTAGAAGTGAGCCATTTCAAATAATAACAGTGCCATATAATGGCGTATTACAAAGTAAATGTCTTCGCTATCCCTCCATTGTTCCCACTTTCATAGAAGTTTAAGAAAGGAACAATTGAGCCGATTCTTTTGTACCCTTTCTCTATGTCTCTGGTCACTGATCGGTTCCTGAAGTGAATAATATGTTAACTGTATGCCACTAATGAATGACTTCTGTGAAAAATTTTAATTTTTTGTTTTTCGTTTACATGTGTCTCAACCCGTTGTTATGGTGCTATTATTGTTCTGTCGTTGTGTAAAAACGTGCTAGTTATGGCTGGCTACAATCCACAAAGCATGAAAATCGCTGACGTAATCAACAATGACTATGTCCACTGAGCGATATCGCAGACGGCTCATCTCATAGTGGGGGCAGACTTATGGGCACCAAAAAGTACTTAGCAGGACTTGTTTAGCTCATCTTGTGAAGACCTGTAAATTCCTGTGAATGATGTGGCCCACATATATCAATTCTCAGTTTTACAGGAGTTTACACGTAAGCGTAAGCTGTTTATTAACATGAACTAGCAAGAAGAATTAGCAAGAAGAATTAGAAAAATCGCGAAATGCCCCTTCCAAGGCGAACTGCCCTCCTTTTTCTCAGTTAGCCTACAATTGCTTGGATTACCAAGAGTCCTCGGGTCCAATGTACTTAGTAGCCTCACTGTCCTATTGCCCGAATTGCGCTTGTTGGTTCGTTCCCTGGTGGAAGTGCATTCACAGAACAACTTGAGCCTGGTCACAGGGCAACATGAACTTGACATGGAGACGGTATAGAGCTTCACCACCCACCACTCTCACTCACCACCCCCCCCCTTACCTGCTGAATGTTTCCGAAGAATCATTGAGAGTTACTCAGGCTTCCCACTCCTCGGCATAACCGTCATCATCACCATCATCATCATCATCTTCTTCGTCTCTGTGACGTCAATCGGGCACTGAAATAGTGTCGTCTGCTCTTCTTTGACGTTGCCACTTTCTCACAGCTTCTTTTGCAACTTCTCATTATTTTGTTATGATTGAAGCCCTCAGACAGCCTGTCGACGTAAGCTTAGCGCGGTACCGACACTACAGCATTACTCACAAGACATGATTTCTGCTTCATGGGACACCAAACTCTTTCCTCTTTTTCGCGATGACTACTTTCTTGACCACTGGGCTGGCCCATCTTACCGTCATGTTCATGTTGCCTAACTATATTTGCCTGAGCTATGCTACCTTTCAAGGAATCTTATGTAGCTTGTCCAGCGCCCAGAAGAATTCGTTTTGACCGCTTGATATACCTTATAGCTAAGGAACTGTCTCCAGATTGTTAAGCGGCGCTGTTTATTGACCGGGGGGGGGCATTTTGTACTATCATTGCTTCCCTAGTTCCGGTTTACAAATCTCTCTGGTAAAACTTGTGAACTCTTGTGAAGCTGAAGTAAGATCGTCTAGCCACTATCCTAAAACGTGTCAACTCGAGAAACGGCTGCCTAGATGGGTCGACACATCTATGGAAAGCAAAATGCCCCCCCCCCCTCCCCGTCGACAAACTGCGGCCTCGTTTGACCTTTCCTGCGTCATTCCAAATATTTGCACACTTTTCCCCGAAGAAGGCGAAGATGCCGAAAGGTACCCCTAATAGAAATCTACAATCTAACAATCTTGGAGGCTCCATCAGGCTGTGCTGGCTGAAAAGACATGATAAGGGTCTCGTGGGGGTTCAGCGCTTAGGAGCTCCGTAATACCGTCACAGAATGCCTGAAAGCATGTATGGGCCTATGTATGCCTGTAAGCTTGCGCGATTTAGCACCTCTCCAAGACAACTAGGAACTTCTGGGACTAGTCTATCAGTCTATCACCATTTGCGCGCGTTCCAAGCCTCAAGGGATAGCCGCTCAACGAGCTTAGATAGACTTAGGAGAAATATACTTAGTAACACAAAACTGAGGGTCCATGCATTGGAAAGCTGTCCCAAGGAATCTGGGACGAGTATACCGTATTCTACCCTTGGAAACATTTTGACTTCGCTCGGAATTGTACTTCTTCCTTTCTAAGAGAATTCTGCTTCCTTTCTAGGATTTTCTAGGATTTTTCTGGTTCGCGTATTCAGTTTGTCGAAGTGAAATTGAAGTAGCACCTGTCTCCGCCTCTTACAATTCAAATTTCACATTTCAGTCTCTTTCAACGCGACTATCTAGTAGGATTTTTCCTGTGCAAGTGCCAAAATGGAATTCGATGATAATTCCGATCAATACAAATTGCTGACTTTATTTCATATCAAATATGCTGGTGTTTTATGCGGGTTTACTGGTAAGTAAGACTGTAGAGAATTTCTCTTTTTCTGTGTTTTTTGTGTATTTCAAAGAATTAACTTATAGAAAGAATAGATAATGGCTTTTTAATTACAGGAATATTGGCCACTGTCATAGCATTCAGTTTTGGTGTAGCCTTTTTTCCATGGTCCTTATACGATGCATCGTTTGATGCAGTTGGTGAGTGATTTCTTCGAATTTGACTCAAAATCAAACTTCACCCATTCAATTCAAAAAGGGACTAATCAAAGGTGGAGATTTTATCCTTATCCTTTATGGTGGATAGGGCTTAGAACTTTCGGAATGACGTTTTGCCTTTTTGAAATGTTAATTGAGTCTGACGTTGTTGAAGGGCCGTAATAAATTTGGCTATAAGGATATGGTCTTTAAGAACCTTTCGCGGAAATGACGTTTTACGCCCTGCTTAGAAATGTTAATTAAGGCCCTGAAGTTGATTGGCAGGGCCGATTGTACCGTATTAAGCACTCAGGAATCTTTTTTTAGCGCTCATCGGCTTCATCGTCTTTCTAATATCTGGTATAGGAGTTCACTACATGATTCTACATGCGATACACTTCATAAAGGTATTGCAGATTTAATCGTACTTGTTATATTTTCCCACAATTTATTTTTTCTCGCTCTCTCTCTCTCTCGGAAGCGATGGATTCATAGTTACGACCTTTCATGAAAATGAAATTGAAACAGTGAGCCCAGGTCGAAGTGGCTAGCTGCGGAGAAACCCATTCCATCTGACTCGCTTTTTAGCGCTGGTCTAGGCGCTGATCCGCTCAGATGGGGGGGGGGGATGATGAATGCCTTTTCATTTTCGCTGTTCCTATTGCTGTTCAAGTTACTGTGCGTGGCACTTTCGTCAGCTGAAGGAGCATAGAAGTGAGAATGAAGGGTAGTGGTATCAGGGTACCGTTTAGGACTCTGCCTATGCTATCCTCAAGGTGCAGCACTTGCGTCGACACCAGAATCCTGCAGCGAGCACACAGACAAAGGTAGAAGGACAATCTAAGTGAGAGGGCGCAGAGAAGTAGCGCGTTTGGCTACGGTTAGGCGTGTGCCATCCATGCGGCAGTGGAGGTGGAGGAGGCACCCTGGTATCACTACCATCCAGCAGCCCCATTCCCGTGCACTTTTGACAGGAGAAAGTGGCCGCTACTGCAGTTGCGGACTTTTTCACTTCACACATGGGAAGGGCCAGGATCAGGACCAGGATGGTGTTGAATGTACAGTTTGCCCTCAACACGATACCGTTCCCCCTCAACCAGCAAAGATCTCTAGCCCTCTAGAATTGCGCGGTTGATGCCAGTTGATGGTCGAAACTGAAGCAATAAACTTACATTGGCTGACTCTCACTACTGTTTTAGTTATAGTTCGCGCGGACGGTTGGGCGTGTCAGGCGGGATGAGTTTGGCAACCCGTTCTCCACCAGTTGTTAAAGCGAGCAAGTGATATGACTGTATCATATCGTTCGTATTACTCGTTTTCTACCACTTTTGTCGCATGCGCGCTTCAACAAGAAGGCAGAGAACGGCTTGCGGGGTGACACACTCATACTGCCTGACACGCCCAACCGTCCGCAGCGAACTGGAGTGTATTTGTCTAATCAACAGACTATATAGATCACAATCCAAATGAATACAGTTTCTTTTCTGAGAGAGAGTGAAATGTATGGAGCATCCCGGAAAAGGATTCCTGTTTGATCCTTCATTTTTTTACATCTTATTAGTTGTGTAACGACTCATTACAAAATATTTTTGTCATTTTCAGTTTCGATTGGTGATGCCCTTTTTGATATATCATGCGTTTCTGATCTCTTTGAATGCTATCACAGCACTGATTGCCATTGGAGAGCTTGTCGCCGATCAGGTACTGAAATTTTTCAATTCACTGGTTTAAACTCTACTGAGCCTGAATAGCCAGAATATTCTCACGCAGACAAACAATCTAGAGGTAAAGAGGACTGATTGGAGCTTCCTGGCGCTCCTTACAACAGGGTACACCACCATGATGCGTGAAATAGCGGTATCAAAACCCACTCAGAAAGTCTCTTTGTTTAGTACGACCCCCATCCCCCTTCCCGTCCTACTTACCATCTCCCTGAATTTTCCCAACCTTCTACCATTTTGCCCCAATTTTCAAAAAAATTCCCACTTTTTCTTCAAAAAGACCGCC